TATACCACAGCACCAAATTGTGTGTCAAGTAAATGTTATGCAATATTGGATATACCACAGCACCAAACTGTGTGTTACCTTAATGTTTTGCAATACTAAATATACCACAGCACTAAACTGTGTGTCAAGTTAATGTTATGCAGTACTAGATATACCACAGCACCAGACTGTGTGTTACCTTAATGTTTTGCAATACTAGATATACCACAGCACTAAACTGTGTGTCAAGTAAATGTTATGCAATATTGGATATACCGCAGCACCAAACTGTGTGTTACCTTAATGTTTTGCAATACTAGATATACCACAGCACTAAACTGTGTGTCAAGTTAATGTTATGCAGTACTAGATATACCACAGCACCAGACTGTGTGTTACCTTAATGTTTTGCAATACTAGATATACCACAGCACTAAACTGTGTGTCAAGTAAATGTTATGCAATACTGGATATACCACAGCACCAAACTGTGTGTTAAGTTAATGTTATACAATACTGGATATACCACAGCATAAACTGTGTGTCAAGTAAATGTTATGCAATACTGGATATACCACAGCAACAGACTGTGTGTTAAGCTAATGTTATACAATACTGGATATACCACAGCACCAAACTGTGTGTCAAGTAAATGTTATGCAATACTGGATATATCACAGCATAAACTGTGTGTTAAGTTAATGTTATGCAATACTAGATATACCACAGCACCAGACTGTGTGTTAACCTAATGTTATACAATACTGGATATACCACAGCACTAAACTGTGTGTCAAGTAAATATTATGCAATACTGGATATACCACAGCACCAAACTGAGTGTCAAGTAAACGTGTTGCAATACTGGATATACCACAGCACCAAACTATGTTTCATAAACAAAAGTCAACTTAACTGTTGTCGTGACAACGAAACCCGAACCGAGGTTTTGCTCACGTGTGCGAAGTTGCCAACAGCTTGTGTGTCCACCGTGATAAATATTCAGCTATAGTAAACCTTTCTATACCGAGACTCTCAAATGAAAAATGACCTCTTTTGGAATGAGATTCCCATAGCGACACATATGTTGCAGACATTAAAGCGATATGGATGAGGCCTACATTCAATAGCGGTGTGGCAGGTACGACATCTTGCAGCATAGCGGCACCTAACATATGCATCATCAGCCTCTCTGTCAGCATCTGCAGCATCCAAAGCAACATTAACGTCAGCATTAAAGGCAACACGATCACAGCCTGACATTTCACCGACTACTATTTGACACAACATTTGTCATGTTTAAAATATAATTCTCGTGCCATGGGCTGACGGTGTAATAGTGAAGTCTCATACCGCTTTGAACAGAATTGTAACAAGTGTCAGCTTGATATGACTACAGGTCCCAGTTGGCAATGTCGTGACCCTTTTGGGAAATTGCGAATAATTGTAAGATCGAATATGGGATTCAAACCCGAGAAGAGTGAGTGAGTGAGTGAGTTTGGGTTTATGCCGCTTTTAGAAATATTCCAGCAATATCATTGCGGGGGACACCAGAAATTGGCTTCACACATTGTACCCATGTCGGAAATCGAACACGGATCTTCGGCGTGACGAGAGAACGCTTAAACTACTAGGCTACCCGACCGCCCCAAAAAACGAGAAGAAAGGATGCGAGCAGATGTATGGATCATTGATAAAGACCCGAGCAGAGGATCCAGGAAGATGGATCATCAATAAGGACCCAGGCAGATATATGGAACATCAATAAGGACCCAGGCAGATATATGGAACATTAGTAAGGATCCAGGGAGATATATGGAACATCAATAAGGATCCAGGCAGATATATGGAACATCAGTAAGGACCCAGGCAGATATATGCAACATCAATAAAACTCCAGGCAGATATATGCAACATCAATAAGAACCTATACAGTGATATCCCAACAATGAAACCCCACTAATACGGAACCCTGACATCCGGACAATATATGTCAGGGACGTCTCGATACATTAGAAATATGTTTCTCCGAGATATCTATTCTCTTATGCGGACATTTGTTAATATGGGGATTTTCACTGGGAGCAATACCCTATGCATTAACGAGGTTTCACTGCATGGCAACAGGCCAGGTCCCGTTTCATAAAGAAATATTAACGGTGTGACTATTCAACGTTGAAGAATGAAGAAAAACATTTACAAAAATATTAGTTGTATGGTGTTTCCAGTTTCAGGTAGGCGACAGGTTGGTGTCACGGTTAGCGCGCTCGCCGTTTCGCTACTCGCACGGGTTCATGTCCCCCAGGCAAACCGTGAAACCTGATCGCCGTATCCGAGCCTGAGCATCAATGAATACATCCAACGCGGCCTCTGGGACTTTTCGACGTCATTGATCCGCACAACAGCTTGCTGGCTGTTATACATATGAAATACACACAGCAGGTGTGGTAGCATCACAGAGCATCACAGAGCATTACAGAGCATTACAGAGCATCATGTACCCATGTCGGGATTCGAACCCGGGTCTTCGGCGTGACGAGCGAACGCCTGAACCACTAGGCTACCCGACCGCCCCCCGGAACCGGGAAGGGACGGACCAAAACATAAGAACACTATAACTAGACGCTGGCGTCTCTGTCAGAGCTTAACGGGGCATGTGTTGTAGTGACTGATGGAACACACACACGCACGCACGCACGCACGCACGCTATCACGCACACACACACACACACACACACACACACACACACACACACACACATATATATATATATATATATATATATATATATATATATATATATACATATATAACACATAACACACATCCCTAACACACAACTAACACACACATTTAACACACAAACACCTTATAAACACACAACTTACACACACACGCTCCTAACACGCACACAAACACGACTCACACAGGCACACACAACTAACACACAAACACACCTAACACACACACAGAGACACACACAACTAACACACCTTAACTACATCAGCACCATTCACCATTATGACGTTTCTCCATTTGTTTTAAAGCATACGGAAATGTGGATTGGGTGTCTCTATGTCATTGCTATGCTATCCACCACTGGTGGTCCGTAAAATATAAAACTCCACACGGACTTGTAAAATTCGGAATTTCCGCTGAAAAGGAAAGCACATGAAGAAAGCGCATCCCTCACCCTGACCAACCTAACCCTCCAACCTAACCCTCCACCCTGACCCTCCATTCTGACCCCCAACATGACCCTCCACCCTGACCCTCCACCCTGACCCTCCATCCTGACCCACCCTGACCCTCCACCCTGACCCTCCATCCTGACCCTCCATCCTGACCCTCCACCCTGACCCTCCATCCTGACCCTCCACCCTGACCCTCCACCCTAACCTCCATCCTAACCTCCACCACGACCCTCCACATTGACCAACATGACCCTCCACCCTAACCTCCACCCTAACCCATCACCCTGACCCTCCACCCTGACCCTCCACCCTGACCCTCCATCAATACCCTCCATCCTGACCCTCCACCCTGACCCTACACCAAGACCCTACACCCTCACCCTCCATCCTGACCCTCCACCCTGACCCTCCACCCTGACCTCCACCCTAACCTCCACCCTCACCCTCCATCCTGACCCTCCACCCTGACCCTCCACCCTGACCCTACACCCTGACCCTCCACCCTCACCCTCCATCCTGACCCTCCACCCTGACCTCCACCCTCACCCTCCATCCTAACCTCCACCCTAACCTCCACCCTCACCCTCCATCCTGACCCTCCACCCTGACCCTCCACCCTGACCCTCCACCCTGACCCTCCACCCTCACCCTCCATCCTGACCCTACACCCTGACCCTCCACCCTGACCCTACACCCTCACCCTCCATCCTGACCCTACACCCTGACCCTCCACCCTGACCCTACACCAAGACCCTACACCCTGACCCTCCATCCTGACCCTCCACCCTGACCCTCCACCCTGACCTCCACCCTAACCTCCACCCTCACCCTCCATCCTGACCCTCCACCCTGACCCTCCACCCTGACCCTACACCCTGACCCTCCACCCTCACCCTCCATCCTGACCCTCCACCCTGACCTCCACCCTCACCCTCCATCCTAACCTCCACCCTAACCTCCACCCTCACCCTCCATCCTGACCCTCCACCCTGACCCTCCACCCTCACCCTACACCCTCACCCTCCACCCTCCACCCTCACCCTCCATCCTGACCCTACACCCTGACCCTCCACCCTGACCCTACACCCTCACCCTCCATCCTGACCCTACACCCTGACCCTCCACCCTGACCCTCCACCCTGACCCTCCACCAAGACACTACACCCTCACCCTCCATCCTGACCCTCCACCCTGACCCTCCACCCTGACTCTCCACTAAGACCCTACACCCTGACCCTACACCCTGACCCTACACCCTGACTCTCCACTAAGACCCTACACCCTCACCCTCCATCCTGACCCTCCACCCTGACCCTCCACCCTGACCCTCCACCCTGACTCTCCACTAAGACCCTACACCCTGACCCTACACCCTGACCCTACACCCTGACCCTCCACCCTGACCCTCCACCCTGACCCTCCACCCTGACCTTCCACCAAGACCCTCCATCCTAACCCTCCATCCTGACCCTCCACCCTGACCCTCCACCCTGACCCTATACTCTGACCCTCCACCAAGACCCTTCACCCTAACCCTCCATCCTGACCCTCCATCCTGACCCTCCACCCTGACCCTCCACCCTGACCATCCTGACCCTCCACCCTGACCCTCCATCCTGACCCTCCACCCTAACCTCCACCACGACCCTCCACCCTGACCCTCCAACATGACCCTCCACCCTAACCTCCACCCTAACCTCCACCCTGACCCTCCACCCTGACCCTCCACCAATACCCTCCATCCTGACCCTCCACCCTGACCCTCCACCAAGACCCTACACCCTGACCCTCTACCCCGACCCTCCACCCTGACTCTCCACAAGACCCTACACCCTGACCCTCCACCCTGACCCTCCACCCTGACTCTCCACTAAGACCCTACACCCTGACCCTACACCCTGACCCTCCACCCTGACCCTCCACCCTGACCTTCCACCAAGACCCTCCATCCTAACCCTCCATCCTGACCCTCCACCCTGACCCTCCACCCTGACCCTATACTCTGACCCTCCACCAAGACCCTCCACCCTGACCCTCCATCCTGACCCTCCACCCTGACCCTCCACCCTGACCCTATACTCTGACCCTCCACCAAGACCCTCCACCCTGACCCTCCATCCTAACCCTCCACCCTGACCCTCCACTCTGACCCTCCATCCTAACCTCCACCCTAACCTCCACCCTGACCCTCCATCCTGACCTCCACCATAACCTACACCCTGACCCTCCATCCTGACCCTCCACCCTGACCCTCAACCCTACCCTCCGCCCTGACCCTCCGCCCTGACCCTCGACCCTGACCCTACACCCTGACCCTCCACCCTGACCCTCGACCCTGACCCTCCACCCAGACCCTCCGCCCAGACCCTCAACCCTGACCCCCTGACCCTCCATCCCAACCCTACAACCTGACCCTCCGCCCTGACCCTCCGCCCTGACCCTCCACCCTGACCCTCCACCAAGACCCTCCACCAAGACCCTCCACCCTGACCCTCCGCCGTGACCCTCCGTCCTGACCCTCCACCCTGACCCTCCACCCTGACCCTCCACCCTGACCCTCCACCCCGACCCTCCACCCTGACCCTCCACCCAGACCCTCCACCCTGACCCTCCACCCTGACCCTCGACCCTGACCCTCCACCCAGACCCTCCGCCCAGACCCTCAACCCTGACCCCCTGACCCTCCATCCCAACCCTACAACCTGACCCTCCGCCCTGACCCTCCGCCCTGACCCTCCACCCTGACCCTCCACCAAGACCCTCCACCAAGACCCTCCACCCTGACCCTCCGCCGTGACCCTCCGTCCTGACCCTCCACCCTGACCCTCCGCCCTGACCCTCCACCCTGACCCTCCACCTTGACCCTCGCCCTGACCCTCCACCCTGAACCTCCACCCTGACCCTCCACTCTGACCCTCCACCTTGACCCTCCACCCTGACCCTCCACCAAGACCCTCCATCCTGACCCTACACTCTGACCCTCCACCAAGACCCTCCACCCTGACCCTCCACCCTGACCCTCCGCCCTGACCCTCCACCCCGACCCTCCATCCTGACCCTACACTCTGACCCTTCACCAAGACCCTCCACCCTGACCCAATACTATTCCAATGGGAAGCGAGGGTGTTTTTGCAGTATTTCAACATTATCCCTGAAGATAGCAGCAATATCGTCAACCTCAGACTTTTTTTGTACATACAATTATTTTGCCATAATGGTATCGTCAAACGTATTCGTTCACATCAACAGTTCCGACACCTGCATACCACGGTGAATGCGTATCACTTGACGGGTCTTGAGCAAGGACAACGGGTGCTCTTGTTATTCATTAAAGTTCATGCGACACGGAGGAGCATGACTGTCATCTGACGATATAGGAAAAAAACCATTTGAAATAACTTTCAGTTGGGCGGTTTACCGTGCGTTCTTTCTGATTCAATGAATGTGATATGTATTCACGTTGGGCCATGTCAACCGCAACACTTGCTAATACACGTTCTCCAAGCAAGCGTGCTTTTTCCCCCAGGTTACTTTGCATAAATTTTAATAATCTATGTGTGTGTCTATTTTCCTGGTCAGGTGTTTGTTTCTCCATTTTAATGATCTAATGTGTGTCTACTTTCCTGGTCTGGTGTTTATCCATTTTAATGGTCTAATGTGTGCCTACTTTCCTAGTCTGGTGTTTATCCATTTTAATGGTCTAATGTGTGTCTAAATTCCTGGTCTAGTGTTTATCCATTTTAATGGTCTAATGTGTGTTTACTTTCCTGGTCTAGTGTTTATCCATTTTAATGGTCTCATGTGTCCAGGTAGATTTTCAGTTTTGGATGATGAAAGTACGGCAGCAGCTGCTCAGATTTTTAGTAACATTTCCGGAAAGGCTCACTTTTAGTAATCATCTTTGTTGGCAATCGTAACTTCTGTGTGACTTGTCAGCACATTAGTGTACCATGGTGCCACCAAATAACCCCATACAAAGTTGTACTCGTCGTTGTCGCCCGGTAAGCCAGGCGCCACGTTGAATTATTTTAGAAAGGGAGACGGCAAGGTGAGGGAATTGGACCATGGCTTTTGTACTGTAATTGTTGCCATATTCCATGAAAGACGTTGCCTAGTAACAGCTGTACAAACACGGATAATGGTTTGTTCATAATTATGTTTTCTGAAATGGTACACTGTTTGTAAATAATCTCTTTCAATGAAAAAAGTTGCCCCAGGGTCGACAAAGTGTCCACACATCCAGTAAAAAATGAAAGTGGAGAATCAGGCAATTCATAACCCTATTTGCAGATACATCGCACCCACCCGCCCTTACCCCCACCCTTAGCCCAGGCTCAATTCCACCCAACTCAGGGGTCCATACATAATACATATTTTCAGACAATTAATGATGCGCGGTTGCAAGGGACAATGGCAATCTAACAATAGGGTAGATGTTGAACAATGTAACACACCTGCTGGTCACCAGGTCAGCATGGTAGATATCATTCGTGAATACCAGATCGATACCCGACACAATACCCACGCGATCAATACCCGACACAATAGTAACAACAAATGTGTATATGACTATTGTAGGTCGAATGTCAACATGGTGTAAATGATGGCCATTAAAGGTCTCTGACATCCGTCACCTCGCTATTCGTCACTGTGTTCTGTGACGGAGAGAATACAATCACTGGAGCAGATAACGCCATTAGAAAATGGTGTACCTTTGAATAAGGTTATATATACTGAGCCGCAAAGGAAACGTCACCATGGATAGATATATGAGAAACCTTATTTGTCCAAACACTGTAAACATACATTGAGACATATTAAAAAGATGAAACTTGGCAAAACCGATCATCAAGGTTGATATTAAAGTGTCAAATGTTCTTAAAGTGAAACACAACACTAGTCTCTGAGAAAATGGCATCACAAGTCAGTTTCTCGTGTGTCCGCAATGTGCATTGATGACTGCGGTGCAACGTCGATTCATGGAATGGATGAGGCGGTTGATGAAGGCCACTTGAGCCCACACTCTGAGGAACGCCTGACGCAGTTCAGCTGCAGTTGTCGGCCTTGTTCAGACGTCATTCAGCCGTCTTTGAATCTCGTCCCACAGGTGCTCAATTGGATTTAAATCGGGACTGAGGGCAGGCCACTTTATGGTTCTGATGCCATTCTGCTGGAGGAAGTCTCTTATTTCTCTCGCAGTTTGGGCACGGGCGTTATCATGCTGAAACTCGTGGTTGCGGCGACGTGCCAAATGAGGAATGGCGTGTGGTCTCACGACTTGATCAATGTACCGAGCAGCTGTGACACCATTGCCTCTCCCTGGACCGATGTTCTGGAAGACCACAGGGCCGACCCTCTGTGCAAGACCAATTCCACCCCACACCATGATGCTCGGACCACTCCACGAGTCTCTCTCAACAACACAAGCATCCGAATAACGTTCCCCACTGCGTCGCCAGACTCTCCCTCTGCCATCTGCTGTGTACAGTAACGGCTCTGGTCTGAGAAGAGGACTCTTCTCCACTGCTGGTGGCGCCAATGTTGGTGCTATGTTGCCCACTGGAGACGGTCCCGGCAATGACGTGGTGTCAGGGTCCTCGGTGTGGCCTGTCACAGTGGAGGTGTCTGCTCGTCGATCGTCGACGCACGGTGTCCGCACTAATGTGTCGCTGGTGTGTCCCCATGGTCTGTCGAGCAGTTTCCGCAGCAGTAACAAAGCAATCTTGAAGATGCTGTCGCACAATCTGACGATCCTGACGTCGGGTGGTGACCCTTGGTCTTCCACTATGTGGTCGGTCATCTGTAGTGTTGGTGGTCTGGTACCGTTGCTGGAGCCTGTATATGGTCCTTACATGGACTTAAAATGCATTGGCTTCTAGCCGGGCGGTTTGTCCAGCTTGCAATAGTCGAAGGGCTTGGTGTCGCTGACTTCTTGTCAATCTTGGCATGTGATAGCAATTCAATAACGAATGAATGTTATCCGATCTGGGTGGATTCTTATAGGGCAAGACATGGGGGAACTCACGTGCATCGGGTTACCATTGCCGTTGCCGTGATGCGTTAGGGCGATCGCTTTTATTGTCAACTGCTTTGTTTTTTTATCATCTAATTTCATTTTTCAGGACAAGGTAATGTTAAATTTTAGAAACGTTGACAAAAATTACCCAGATATTTAAATGACAACTTCTCATCCAATGTTACTTGGGGTGACGTTTCTTTTGCGATTCAGTATATATCGGCTCTCGATGCGGGAATAAAGGAGGTATATACGGATACACATAAATAAATGTCTCATTAGGCTGTCAAAGACACACAGACTCTCTTACAAAAAGTCACTACCACTACTACCACTACTACTACTTGTACCGCTACTCCTACTACTGCTACCACTACTACAACTACTACTACTACTACCGCTACTCCTACTACTGCTACCGCTACTACAACTACTACTACTACTACCGCTACTCCTACTACTGCTACTGCTACTACAACTACTACTACTACTACCGCTACTCCTACTACTGCTACTACAACAACTACTGCAACAATTACTAGTACTACTTCCACCACCAAAACCACAACTACTGCTGCTACTACTGCTACTGCTGCTGCTGCTACTACTTCTACTACTACTACTACCTTTGCTGCTGCTGCTACTACTACTACTACTACTACCGCTACTACTACTACTTCTACTATAACAACTACTACTGCAACAATTACTTGAACGTCCACCACCACCACCACCACTATCACTACTACTACAGCTACTGCTGCTGCTATTACAACTGCTTCTACCATCATCACCACCACCACTACTACGCCTGCTGCTGATACTACTACTACTACTACTACTACTACTACTATTGCTACTATAACAACTACTACTACTACCAATACTACTACCGCTACCACTAGCGTTACTACTACTACTACTACTACTTTTGCTACTACAACAACTACTACTAATGATAATAATAATAACGGTAATGATAGTGATTGTACCAATAGCCTATAACGTATTCTTAGTGATACATCACTATTATAATAAGAGGTGTTTTATTTCCGTGATGTCTGTCTGTACATTTGCCCATGATACACATGGAGGAACACGCTACTTAATATTTGAACGTTTTAACAATGACTGACATTTATATATTATACGCTGTAGCAGGATCACGAGGGGTACATGGGGTTTTATGCGAACGGTATAAAACCTAACGAGGGACGCCTTACACCCTATGTACCCCAAGTGATCCTGCTACAACGAATTTATCTTACCGAAATGGTTTTTTTATATGACATTGTAAAAGAATTAAAACAAATTCAAAATTGATAGAAAACAGATGTTCGATTGAGCGATGGTTAGCTTGTGCTATGTCAAGTGACTTTCATTGACACGGAAAAAGCTTGCAGCTGTTTGCTTCGTATGTGGGTATGCGGGATTTATTCTGCCTCAGAAATCCACGTGCAGCCTGACTTGTTCGTGGCGGGGTATAAGGAAGTTATTCACAAGCTGAGAATTGTTTCCTGTTTTCCCTTCAGGGCGGGATACATATTATTTTATGATAACCTGGACCAATCGGATCTTATCATTCGGATACGGAGGCATGATGAAATGGTATGTGCAGAGCATTCATGTGGTACATACGTAATTCTAAACTGAAAATGGAAAGGTCATAAAAGCGGAAAATGACACAACGTCAACTCAATTACTACTCTCGAATTCCTAGGCACATGAGCATGTCGTCCAACATCAATTAAAAGGCTTGTCATAAGAGGCAACTAACGGGATCAGGTGGTCAGGCTCGTTGACTTGGTTGATGCATGTCATCGTATCCCAATTGCGTGGATCTATGTTCAAGATATCAATCGCTGGATTGTCTGGCCCAGACTCTATTATTTACAGACCGCCGTCATAAAGCTGGAATATTGCTGAGTGCGGCGTTAAACAACAAACAAACAATTAAAAGTTCATGCGAGGAGCATCGTAACAGTTACAGAGCATGTCTAATTAAGTTAAGATTAATATCCAACATTTACTGTAATGTAGCCAGTATACCGTTATTAATGCTTATGAGCGCACGAGTATCATGACAGAGATTGATTCCGTTTCTTTCGTTCTGACGAATCCTATCATTGG